TCCATAAAGAAAACCCAACACACTTCGGCAATGCGCCAATTTGGTACAACTCCCTTATAAGAATTGCAAACCGGCCAATCTTTTATCCGGATTGGGCTCGTGCGGGAGTTAATCAGGCCAAAGACCTGCTAGATCAAAAGTTTCACTTTTTGAAGTATAAGGATTTTAAACTCGCTACAAAGTTAATACCACTTTTTTAAGGTACTATGGTGTAATCTCCGCCCTGGCAAAATTAAAAAAGTCTTTTCAGGACCAGGCTACGATGAACTCTGAGGACCAACTCACTCGTAGTCAAAAGTTACTATCGTCCTCAAGCTTTTACAATGGGGCGTATAAGTTAATTGTCAAAGGATAAAAGCCAGAGTAAATGGATAGCTGACTGCGAAAATTACGAACTGACTTGATAAAGTGGAATAAGTCATATATTTTGCCTTGCTATTGCACGAAAGAAACTAAACTTCAGACTTTCCAATTTAAGCCTCTTTACAGAAAAATTGCAACGAACGAATATTTCTATAAAATGGGTATTATCTCTATAAAACGGGTATCTCTTTAACGGACATATATGTAGTTTCTGTGAACAAAACACAGAAAGCCTGATTCATCTCTTCTGGGACTGTGAATTCGTGCAAACCTTTTGGCAAAACATCCAACATTGGTTGATACAGCATCAGATAAAGCCACAGGACTTTCTTTGACCCTACCAGTCTGCCTGGGACTAGTTGATAGTACAGAGGATATTCTACACCATGCACTTCTAATTGGCAGATATCACATTTATTCATCGAAAAAAAGGAAAACTCTTCCGAATTTACAAGTATTTTCACAAACTTTCCTTAAGGTCTTTAAGTGCCAGGAAGTCGAAAAGTGTTATGCTTATAAGTAAGATTCTTACTATGTGGAGGTGTAAGAGAATTCCTAGATCTGTGTAATAGTCTGTAATAGTCTTTAATTCTCTTGACATGTTATATAATATCAACATTACTGTATTATTACAGGACGCAACAGCTCTCACATCACAAGAAGATAGCGCTAAACTGGTAAGTAAGATTCTTACTATCGAGCTGTGGAGGAGTAAAAGAACCCCTTGATCTGTTTTTCATAATAGTTTTCAGTTGTCTTGACCTGTTATATAATATCAACCTTACTGTATTATTGCAGGGCGCAACAGCTCTCACATTACAAACAGATAGCGCTAAAATGGTAAGTAAGATCCTTACCATTGAGCTGTGGAGATGTAAGAAAACCCCTAGATCTGTGTTCAATAATAGCTTTTAGTTGTCTTGACCTGTTATAACATATAGATTTAGCCAAACCTACAAGTGGAGCTCCTGGGCCGGGTTGTTCAAAGCCCGATTAAGCTAATTTTAATTTGAGTTTTGTAACTTTGCGGTGAGATTTTCTGTTTATATGGTTTGCTCTTCTGCTTTGAGTTTGAATAATCGCAAAATACACAGAACATAAGCAGTGAAAAACACTTGTATACGAGAAAAAATTATACTTTGGTTAACTTTTAATCCTAGGTTAGCATTAACCGGCTTCCGAACAACCCACAAAAAACACGCGACCTCAAAGAGCTCTAAACTTGAGGCCGCGATATGGTCACGTGATACTGGTCAGGGGATACCTTGTTTTGAGAAGTGTTAGTTGACCATAACATGGATGTATAATATCAAAGAGGGTCGCCACAAACCAAGGCTACATGTCTCTGTCAACTTATTAGCTGGAGTTTAGCCCCCATTTTGCCCGAGTCCTCCGTCGCCACCGCCTTCGCCGTGATGAGTACGCGCCCACGAGCAATACCGATAGTCATGATAACCATGAGAAAATCCATTCACGGGTTTCCTTTTCTTTCCTATATGAGTATGGGGCTCTACTATAATATCAACATTACTGTATTATTGCAGGGCGGTACAGCTCTAATATNATATGGTCACGTGATACTGGTCAGGGGATACCTTGTTTTGAGAGGTGTTAGTTGACCATAACATGGATGTCTAATATCAAAGAGGGTCGCCACAAACCAAGGCTACATGTCTCTGTCAACTTATTAGCTGGAGTTTAGCCGCCATTTTGCCCGAGTCCTCCGCCGCCGCCGCCTTCGCCGTGATGAGTACGCGCCCACGAGCAATACCGCTAGTCATGATAACCATGAGAAAATCCATTCAAGGGTTTCCTTTTCTTTCCTATATGAGTATGGGGCTCTACTATAATATCAACATTACTGTATTATTGCAGGGCGGTACAGCTCTAATATCACAAGAAGATGGCGCTGAATTGGTAAGTAAAATTCTTGCTATTGAGCTATGCAGGAGTAAGAGAACCCCTAGATCTGTGTTCAGTAATAGTTTTTGATTGCCTTGACCTATCATAAAATGAATAAAATGAAAATTCCTGTTGAGACAAATATTGCATCCACATGCAACGCTGCTGAACCAGTTCACTTAGGTGCTCTGCTTCTGCTGTTTCAGCTCTAAGGTGGCTCACAATTGTTATTGGCATTTTTCAGTTCCTTTTTGATAAATAGGTACTTCGGTGGGCCGCTAGCGTAGCGTTGCGGCGCGGTGCGGCGCGATGCGTTCCAGTCTAAACCTTCACTACTTCTTGATCCATTAGCACGCAAAAAGAACTGAGGCAATATCCAGCCTTCTTGGCTAAATAAACTTGGTCAATAACCGGTATTTATTATATGGCTAGCTCCCTGAGCGAGCAAGATGAACCGAATCCTGCGCTGTGATTGGCTACCCGAGCAGGTAAGAGGGCGCTATATCGCCCGCTCGGGATTACCCACTGTGTCCAGCAAGAAAATAGTGTTCTTTTTCCATATGATAAATCCTTAGGTGGCTGGGTATTGCCTCGTTCTATTGTTGCGTGGTTATGCACCTTGACTTTGTCACGGTCCATAAACACACACACAAAAAAGAACTTGGCCAATATTCAGCCATCTTGACCTCACACTAGGTCAGTAACCCATATATAACAGTTGTACTTATTAATCTTTTTGCGGTCTGTTTCGTCTCTGCAGTCGGTGCTTCCTCGATACAACACAAATTCCATAGCAAACAAAACACTGAAAAGAAGAAGTTCGAGTACCACTTGTGGGCAGTTAAATGTGACTTTGTTGGCGGCTGAGTGGGGTTCAATAAAGCACGGTGACTTGTCAACCGTGAACAGGGAACTTGCTATTAATTTGGCCAAGGTCCAAGAGTGCAAGAATGAAAAAGTGAAAGTGCAAGTCACTTTCTTTGTCCCAAAATGTAGTCACCAGGAGAGGGGAGAAGCTAAAACGTTTAACGTTGCCATCGCTGAAGCAAAGAAATATCCAGGTATGGACATCTATACATGCTTATGCTTTCCAACAGGAGACCTTGCAATAGACGTTGTTATTGGTCACGACGTGAAGCTTGGCGGACAAGCGCAGATTATTAAAGAGCAACATAACTGCAAGTGGGTGCAGGTAGTGCACACTGACACTAAAGACCCAAACGGCCAAACAGAGAACAAAGATGTGATTAAGCTGTGTGAAAATGCAGATCTTGTCATGACGGTTGGACCAAAATTAAAAGAAGTTTATTCCAGTCAACTGCGCGGGTGTGAAAGAGAGGACAATGTCTTTGAATTCACTCCTGGCATCATGGAAGAACTGGATATTCAACATGCACTTCACGATAATGCCACATTTAAGGTGCTTTTCCTCGGTCGCACTGATCTTAAGAACTTTAAACAAAAGGGATATGACATTGCTGTTAAAGCATTTAAGAACGAATTGAAAGGCGAAAATTATTGTCTTGTGTTTGTTTGTGCACCCGAAAAAAGAGTGGACGAGGTAGCAGAATACTTGAGAAGTGCATTTGGAATCCCTGAAGAGCAGTTTGAAGTCAAAGCATTTGTAGAAAGTAGAGAAGACCTCAAGGGTCTGTTTCGTGAAGTGGATCTTGCTATCATGCCATCAAGGACAGAGGGTTTCGGATTGACTGCTCTGGAAGCTTTTTCCGCTGGTTTACCTGTTCTTGT